ATTTATGTCCTTTATTTGCAAACAATCTGGTGCAAAAGTTAACGCAAGAAAAGAAATAATGAATGCTATCTACATACGTATTTCTCATTATCACATCACTGCCGCCATCACTATACAGAAGAACATATGTTGTAGCGTCAACAAGAAATTTTGTTACTATTGTACAAAAATACTTTTTTTGTTCTTTCTATCGCCAGAAAAAAGAAAACTTTATTTCTCTATCATGATTAGAGATTTGTATATTTATTGTATTTGTATAAATTTCCATTATCTAATAAAATGACTCTATCATGCAATATCAAAGATAAATAATTGATGATCATTGAAACGAACTAGTCATTAGAGCTGCAATTAATGTATTGGATACCTTATTTCATTGTTAAACAGGCACAGAAGGAATGAACGTACTTGTAAATCTTCATAAACTGCCGAATAAAGGGTGGTTAATTAGTTATGCTAAGATGTTTGCTGTATTACTTGAAATACGATTTCAACAATCGTTAATTTTCGTTCAGTGAACCCGCTTATACATAAATTAAGATCATAAGTATCCTTCAACACGAGATTCAACAAGCCCAGTTACGCAAGAATTCGGAGACACTCTATCAACAGAAATACAATATACGTTTTGCTTTAGAAAAAACCAATAACGCATACAACTGAAGTACTTCTTAGTAAGCAGTATGCTCTTTGATTTTGAAAATTTTGAATTTCACTTAGGGCCAATCGTTTCGATTGTTTTCAACGAGAGTGAAGTAATTGAAATATTACCAGACAATCTTTAACAAAAACTAAAATTTTAGACACACAAGCTGAAAAATTTCTGCTCCTTCTCCTCAAACAAAACCATTTGATCAATATGTCAGTATATGGAATACAAGATAGTAGTATTGTGACTGAGCAAAAGTAGTAAAGAGATCACTAAAAGAGAAATAATGAAGAATGAGTTGTTTGTTATCAAATAGTCAATTCAAATGGACAGAGTCCATTAACGTATACGAACAAGGTAACGTTCGTCTGCGCTAGCTCGGTCACCTGACTTTAAGAACTTAAGAGTACTACAAATGAGAAAAAAATTTGACTGAATACTTTTTGTGCTAGGAGGCCTGAAATTTGGCTATTTTTAAAATAGGTTCTTCGAAGATGGGCTTCGTACTCAAAGAGAAAGATAGATATCGATCTTATTCTTTTTTCGTTGGATTAAGTAGCTTGGCACTTTAGCTTCATTTTTTCGAATAGTCAATTCAAATGGACAGAGTCCATTAACGTATACAAAAATTTGAAACTATTTTTCTATCAGAACGTTCTGCTTGCTATTGATCTGACTTAGAAGATTCGAAAAATGAAATAAACTAACTAAACATGAACCAACTGGGGCCAGTTTCATCAAAAAATTTAAGTTTAACTTAAGTGAAAAAATGACTTAAGTAAAACTTAAGTCAAAAAAGATAAAAGATCGCGTTTCATCAAAAAACTTAAGTACGATTTTCGACTTAAGTCAGACTTAATATTTTGCTTAACTTAGGCGACCGAATAGATGTCCTAAGTATGACTTAAGTCAAAAAAATTGATCTTAACTAAAACGTTATTTAGCAGCAAGAGCATTCAAAAGAGAACGCGTATTCAAAGATAGGCAAAATCCATTGGAAACAATGACAGATGATATGATTTTAGCACGATATAGATTTCCAAAAACGACTATAATCAATTTATTGACTCTCATTGAACCTCAAATAACTCGTGCTACACAAAGAACACATTCCATCTCACCGTAATACAGTTGTTAACTGCTCTATGCTTTTTATGTCACTGGATCATTTTTTTACGTTGATGGAGACATACATGGCATCAGTAAACCTTCCATCAGTCGGATACTGAAAGCTATATCAACAATTTTAGCAAATATGGCAACACAAACAATAACATTTCCAAGCACAGCAGACGGACTTGACGAAATTAAGCAAGGTTTTTATGCGACATCTCAATTTCCGCATGTTATCGGCGTTATTGACTGTACACATGTTCAAATAAAAACTCCGTCAGAAAATGAAGGTAAAAAAGAGTTTTGCTGTGCTTGTAAAAATATCGCAAACAGGATAAGAGCATTTGCATCGTCATTCTCCATTCATTTAATAAAAATTGTAAAGTCTGTTTCCTATCATTACTCAGAAAACTCACCGTTCAGTAAAGTTTTAAAATAAAAACCCTCTACATACTTTTTTTAGTATTTTTCCGAAACAAACTACTAGTGGCAATAGCGATAATGCAGACAACCGACACCGCCTGAAACCCAAAAATGGTTCCGTCGCTCATTGAACGTTTTTAAACTTGCGTTGTCGGTTTGTGGGTTAGTTTTTGGTACGATAACCAACGTTAAAACAGTTGGAATACCTTTATGTTCCCTCTTGTTACCGTTACGGGTGGAAAATAATACAAATTAGATGAAAATGTGTTGCACCATGTATTGTCGCTCCCGCACTACGAATCATTATTCTTTTTAACTCGGTAATAAAAGAAATACAACTCTTTTCGTTTGGAACGTTATGTAAACCGAAAACATTTTGTTTAAGAACATTTTGTTTATCCATCTCCGATTAATAGTATTTCAAATATGTAAATAAAAAACAAACGAATGTCAAATAGTAGAATAAGTGTGTGGAAAACAGATCGTGAATTTTTTACTGGGTAGTGAAGATGCAATGCCTTGATTGCTTCATTTTTGTTATAAAAGCTGGTGAAACTCTATCAACGCGAAAAAGTCAGTGTTTCAGCAACAATTTGAAGTAGTAGAAGCTATGAGTACACTTTCCTAAGCTGAAATTAATTTTTTACAGAGTGTATCCATGGAAAATTATGTTAAGGTATATTCCTAAAATATATAATGCATATACACTTTGCTCTCGCTTGGTGCGCTCCTTCTTGAAAACAGTGTACAAAACTTCGAACATTATACTCAAATTGCTTAAACTTATGGAAGTATGAATTTCTATGGATAAACCTGTTAATTTTTTGATGAAACTGGCCCCTGTACTGCAGTCGGCTGTTCTGTAGTTTACCATTGTATTGATTCGTCCTTCTTCGAACAACTAGTAATCATCCGTATAATTTTGCAGTACGTAAGACAGAAACTCTTTTAGAAGCAACCTATAAATATATTCTTCTTTGGAGAGAGAGTAAAAGTTGAAGAAGTTTACTATAGTGCTGATACACATTAAAGGTCTACAGTTACAATTTGATTGGCTAGTTTTCTAAATGAACGATATTTTAATTTTATTTAAAAAATCAAAAAGAATATAAAACATAAGGCTACGTCCACACTACAAAATTTTTAGAGTTAACCCGAAGTTAACTTCAAGAGCGCTCATATCTAAATCTTTAATACACCAACAAGATTTTAACATTTCCCCTAAAATTGTGCTCCTTCCTAGCTTCCGTGCTCTCAAAGGTTGCGGCTTGTTAACAGCCAGCCGACTTGAATTTACGTTCTACAGTTGCCCTTCTAAGCTCAAACAGAAAAATTGAGTAGAGAGTCGCAGATCTTTGTTTCCTCACAGAACTGGCGCTATCGCTCTTGTCTAATGGAACCATACTATTGGTTACTGAGCTCATTTATGACTGGAGAATTAAAATTAGATGATGTCCGAAACATCATTTAACTCAGAGTTAACTTTCTTACCAATCAGCTTCATTTAGCTCATTTAACTTTTGTGGTGTGAACGTTGCCTCAGCGAGATGTATACTGTTTTACCATATCTACGATCTTCCTTGGGTTAGAATATAAGACCTAAAGTTACCCAAGAACTAAGTCCTAGAATATCTGTTAATTTAATTCTTATTTGTCTTATTTCCTTTGTTCTGTATCTTTTAGCTAATGCGAAAGAGAAGAATAGCTGACAGCATTTTTTTTATATTAAGCTCCATTTCGGCAATGTTTGGTTTCAGCGTGTCCTAACCTTTTTTTAACGTGATGTGGTTGTCTAAAAGAAGTTGTAGTTATGCAAGGCGATAAAACAAAACAAAAATGCACATTTTCTAGTCTAATCTTCGTCGAGTAGTAAAAATACCATTACCAGTTTTCACTTCTATTTCTATATAGTCGAAATCAAGTGAAGATTCCAGTGTAGTCATGCTGTTATTCTGCTGTAGTTATTCATATTCACTTATTTCGACTTCGATACTGAAAATAATGAAAAAGGCGACTTATTTATAGTTTTAGATGTCTTTTCTGTTGTTTTTATTTGTTTATATTATTTCGTATGTACACAGCCAATATAGTCAGTACGATATTATTCCATTTAGTATCTACAATGTTGATAATAATGTAAATAGTATTCAAACAACAAGTGCGTTCAATAGATTTTTGTATCTTTTTAATTCTATTTTGTATATTCAAAACTTTTTCTAGTTCGTTGGTGTTGTGTAAACGATGGTGAATACAACAAGTGTCAAATGTGGCGTGAAGCCGTCATGTTACAAAATCTTACATTATCTAAAATAGGATGTATTCGCGGTCGTGATAAATACGATTGTTATCGAAAAATATTTAATGATGAAGCCGATTTAATGAACGCTGATTCGGGAGAAGTAAATACGGCTGGAAGATATTATAATTTAGTACCAATTATGAACGAATTATTAAATATACAATTATTTGGAGGTATAAAGAAAAATTCTTTCTCATAATTATCTTTGCCATTAGTACAGTATATTTGAGAGTAAAAAATATTCAAAAATTATACTGTGTCTAAATAAAGTTCGTTAGCCATTTTATTTTTCATAATAAAAATAGAATCTTAGTTCGAATAATCATTTTTAATTTCTGAGTGTTTCGCTATTTATAGTCTACTGTTAGTTTTCTAATATTTCTAGGACCATCAACGTCTGCTTATTATGCTGTGGCTGTCGTTCGTCGTGGATCTCAAGTATCTTTAAATAATCTACAAGGAGCTCGTTCGTGTCATTCATCTGTTGGATCAACAGCTGGATGGAACATTCCCATCTCACAATTACTTCGTGATAAACGTTTAAATATAATCGATTGTAATAATCATGTCAAATCAGCTGCTTTACTTTTTGGTGAAATGTGTGCACCCGATGCTCTTAATCGTCAATTTAATCCAACAGGTGATAATCCAGCATCGGTTTGTGAATTATGTCAAGGATTACCAGGTGTTAACTATTGTACAAATCAAGATCCTTATGCGGGAAATATTGGTGCATTGTATTGTCTAGCAAACAAAGGTGATATTGCATTTGTTAGACATACATCACTTTTAGAATTACAACAATTAGATCCAACGTTTCCGTTAGGTAATTTAAAATATAATTGAAATAACGGTTATTATCAGTACTATTTACTATTTTGATTTCTAGATCAATTTGAATTATTATGTCCAATGAATAATCAGCGTGCATCATGGCAAAATTATCAACAATGCAATTGGGGTATTTCACCGGCAAACGCCATTCTCGTATCACATCGACGACCAAAACAGTTACGAGATATTTATAAACAAGTTCTTATTGATTCAGCAAATATATTCACATTTCAAAATCCTATATTTCAATTATTTAATTCAAGAAGATTTAACGGTTATGATCTACTATTTTCCGATATTGCTGTCGGATTTAATTCATTAAATGATAAGACAACATACGCAACTTATCTAGGTAAATTACAGTAATTAACTAACGAGGGAACATATCCAAGTGTAACTCTATGATTTGAATGAAATATACTGTGTCTAGTAGAATCACATGCGCTAATTCCAAATATGATATTTTCAGATGCCACCATTCACATTCTCACTAAATTAGAGTCTATTTTTTCTTTTATGGTTGGTAAACACTCGACCTTCAGTCTACCACCATTTTTTGTAGACACATCAAGAAAAAACAATAAAATACTTCTGATAAGCTCTGTATGTAGAGAGTTAAAAATACTTTCTCTTACTATATTTTATTGTTTGTCGTGCTTGAAGAAACTTTGAAATGTTTATTATCTCACAACTTTTTTAAGGCTTTATCTTCCTATATATTATTTTTTACGTATTGAAGTGTAGTTCTATTAAGCTGTAATAGAAAAGATAAGTTTTCTCTAAGTTACTCTCAAATATTTGTGCCTGCTTTTAAAAGAAAACGTAGAAATGGACTCCTTTATATCAAACCGGTGTGCTTGCAGTGGTGTAGTTCTATCTTTGGTTAAACCTTCGTTAAACCTGAAAGATTTTTGCATTAAAATGATAAACATTGTAAATGTTTTAAAACTACCCTGTAAACTGATTAATGAGAAGTATAAAACTATAAGTACTAGCGTTTGTAATTATTTTAAAGCTTATTTATAATATTTTATTGTTTTTTCTCACTGAAGTACCGGGATAAAATCGAATGCTTAATTTTTCTATAGCATCTTTTTTTTATTTACAATTTTTTTGCCGTCAATTATTTAGGTAATGACTATACGGCGATTATGTCTCGTTTGTATGACTGTCCATTGCGTGTTCTACGTTGGTGTGTATTATCTCCGTATGAGAAAGAAAAATGTCGTTTAATGAAAAATGCATTTACACGCAAAAATGTCAAACCGGATTTGGATTGTATATCGGCAAAAAATGCTATGGAATGTATGTCGAAAATAAAACAAGGTATTGCTGATATTATTACATTAGATTCGGCTGATGCATTTCGAGCAACAAGGTATGGAGATAGATTATCTTTATTAGTATAAAGAGTGATCATGACTTTATTCTTACTATTTCGAAGATATTATGATTTGATTCCATTGGCTGCTGAAGATTATGGAGTAGATTTAGAGACAAATGTTATGTATGCTGTAGCAGTAGCTAAACGAACAGATTTAACAACAAACTTATGGAATTTAAGAGGTTTGTTCAATTTTTTACATTTTAAATAAGATTGAGTTTATTTTCTATATGTTAGGTAAAACAATTTGTTCGACAGCTGTTGGAGATTTAGCGGGATGGCATATACCTGTTGATTATTTGACGGCAATTAGAGAATTATTTGTACAAGATTGTCATGTGAATAAAGTAGCGGGTATCTATAATCTACAATTTATCTTTTTTTAACTGTGTTGCCGTTATTTTCACGTCTCAATTAAATCTGATAGTTTGTTGTTAATAGCAACTATAGTTACATATTAGTGAAATATGGGTTACATCTTCTATTGAAATGGCAAACAAATATTTCTTTCACTAAAGAATCAAGATTTTATTTGGATGAATATGTTTGCAACTTTTTTTCTAGTAATAAGAATGAGAGAATGTGTTGTATTTATTTTCTTTTTCTCCATTTAGGCGAATATTTTGGTCGTTCATGTGTTCCAGGAGCTTTGGATTATGATTATAATAAAGTGAAAACAAATCCACGTGCATTATGTCTTAAATGTTATTCAAAAGGTTCGGATTATTGTTCAAGATCCCAAAGAGAGATGTTTTATGGAAATTCAGGTGCATTTCGATGTTTAACAGAAGGTAAATATGGTATTTCTATTCCATTTTTCTTTGAATACTATATTTGATCTTTATTTTTCAAGGTACTGGTGGTCATGTGGCATTTGTCATGCACACAGCAGTTATATCAAATACTGATGGACGAAATGTCGATCAATGGTCTCGACCTCTAAGAGCAATTGATTTTGAATTATTATGTAAAAATGGTACTCGAAAAACAATTGATGGATTTAAAAGTTGTCACATGGCCAAAGTACCAGCTAGAGTTCTAATGACAGCATGTACGTATTCTCTTTAAAATCTTCTGTCAGTTTCAGCATTGTAAGACAAATATTTTAGAGAACTAGATAAACATTTTATTCTAGTAGTTATCTGTTTTCTCACTCATTTTATTAGTCTAATATTGTATTCATTGTTTAGCTTCAAAAAGTGACTTAGACAAATTATATATTTGGAATATGTTAAATTTTGCTCAACAACTGTTTGGATCAGATACGTAAGTGTTGTTTTTTTTTTCATTTAATAAAAAAAATGACTGACACATTTTTTATATCTATCTTTCTAGTAATAAAGATTTTCCAATGTTCGATTCATTTTATGAACATCCCGATTTATTATTTTTGGATTCTACTGTTCAATTGACACGTGTCACATCATCGATTGAAGATTATTTAGGACAAGATATTATACAAATGTTAATAAGAACCGATCCAAGAATGTGTAATTTATCAATAAATTTATCCTCAACTCATAGAACGATTTTTTTCTTATTTATTCTTGTTAGTTTTCTACAGCAAAATATATGATGTGTGCAATTTTTTTTGTGTTTGAATCTCAATTTGGAGATTTTCTTTTTGTCAAAATAGACCTTATTGTTTAGAATGATGTTGCATTCCATTTTTTTTTATATTATAAACTGTTTTGTTTTTATTTGTAGCCATACTTTTTCTGGCGACTGGTGTTTTTTCTGTGTATCTTACATTCCGACTTATGGTGTTTTTTTAAATAAATTTTGATACATTGCTTAGTGTGCATATACACTCGTTTTTTATATGACATAGAGTACTTTTTTTTTATAGACTTGTATTTTCTTTTTTTTCGTATTTTTCTTACATCTTTTATTATTATTGTCAAATAGACTTTTGTTTATTATATAATGTAAATATCAAATATACGTCCATACTCATATGTATTTTTGAAATTTTTTTCTTCATTTTAGAGTAATATCAGTGGTAAAAATTACTCGGTGGAGAAAAATTCTAATCATTCTAATCCGTGCTCACCTTCTGAGGCGTGATGATATGTAACGGGAAAAAGACTAGTTTTGGACTTTTATGAATTTTAATGGGCTCAGATGGACTTTTGAAGTTTATTCGAGGACCAGGCCCATTGATCTAGATCACAAAAGTCTATCTAAGTCTCTAAAAGTTTGCGTAAGTCTACATAGGTCCATAAAAGTTCCAGTAAATTCCTGAACTTCTAGGAACTTGTGTGGGTTTAGATAAATTTTGGAAATTCATACTTGAGACTTTTTCCCTTCTGGTAATATGACAGTAACACAATTTCTTTGCTTGATCCATACAATATAGTTCAGTTAACCCATTTCTGCCTCCTTTCTGTCGTAAACTCAAGGGGGAAAAAGCGTTTTAGAATGGTATAGAATGGGCCATTCCAGACCATTCCAAAATGGTCAAAAATGTTTGGAATAGTATGGAATGGCCTGGAATGGCCCATTCCGTCTTTTCCCCTTGCGTAAACTACACTAGGATCTTGCATCGATAGCATCACACAATTCTGCTTCTATGTTGCTTTTTCTACTCTGCTTGTATCCTACCGTTGTATGAGTAGAAGTTTTATTAGTCTCATGCATTGTATTCAGTGCTCGCCGAAACGACCTAGAACGATGCAGAACTACTTACAAAAATTGCGAATGTGATGCACAAGTTGCTACTCTGAATTCAAAATTTTCTGAAGAATAGAATATGAAATCGATTGAATACTTCTTATATTCAGGGAATTACACGCCTAAGAGATCATGAAAACGATAATTTATGCATGAGAAACATATGACTTTGGGTATTAAGTGTTATTTTGCATTGCACACATAAACTATTTTGTATGATGACGTATTGAGCAGGAACACGTTCATATGAGTTACATTCATTATTTTAATTACTCATATACACAATGAGTTATTGAAAATTTGGTTTGCAAGGGAAAGAAATAAACGATCAGAGATGCAGAATCTGCTCAACTGTCTCCGTACGAATCTGAAAATATGTCCGACAGAAACGAGCAAAGTGACATCAGACTGTTGATAGCCGAGTAATATAGTATAAAAATATCGGTTTTGCATATATTCTGCTAGAAAATGACAAAAAATTTCTTATGCAGATAAGAAATCGAAATTATTTCGAAAAATATGATATATTCTTTTAAAGATTTATTCAACAGTGATTTATACAGTGGAAAATTTGAAAAACCCTCAACATAAACGAGTTTGAGATGATTGATATCCAATTTCTTCTTTTGGTTTTCTGATACATATTGTATATTGGGATTTGAGATTTGAATAATCACTCACACTACAACGAGACAATTTTTCCAACAAAAAAGAATGAGAGACAGAGTCAAACGCTTTAGGAAAATTAAAAGATACACCAACACTTTCTACCTCAATCTATGTTTCTAGGCTCCGAATGTGTTTCTACAGATGCGGATAAAGCCAAACTCTTCAACTCTCATTTTCTTCCTGTTATTCTTCTCCCCAGGGTCAAATTTCTCCCTCTGCCACTGCAGACTTGCCAACGATGGATAAACAGCTTGACGTCTCCGTGCGGGATGTCGAAATTCTACTCTGGATATTGAATAAAAAGTCTACTGTTGGTATCGATGGAATCCTCTCTTCCTTCCTTTTTTCGTGTGCTGACATTCTTTCACCTCACCTTCATTCCATTTTCCTTTTAATTTTTCTCATGTTCAAAACTGTATAAATTCTGTTTCAAATTGGTCATCTACTAATCTCATGTCTCTCAATGTGTCTAAATGTTCTGGGCTTCCTTTTAATTTTGATCTTTTCCCGTTTGTTTGCAATGTCCTACGTTCTGCTGTCTCCTGTTTGTTGTCTTGATGCTCTTGTTTTGCACGATCTTAGATGGAATGAACATGCCCGTAATATTGCTCTTGCTTGTTGGCGCAAGCGGAGTGCACTAGTTTCCTTGGACTAGCTCCATTAGAGATTCGATGTCGAATTTATCTTTCTTCTATTCTTCCTAAACTTTTATTGTTGTGCCTTATATGATAGTTCTTTCTCGTATTTGACTCTGGAAATAAACTTGTTTCTCGTAATTTTGATTATCACTTTTATAGCTCTTTACTTGTGTCACAACTTTCTCGTCCAAATCTCTCACTTCGCCTCAAATATCTTCGACTTGCACACATCGTCTTAGTCCTCTTTTCATCATTTACTCTATTCATCGTTCTTATTACTCTTCTTTACGCTGTCATCCATCATTCTTAATATGTTCGTATTGCAACCTCTGTTAATGCTTTTTCTTCTCAAACAGTTTTTTCTTCTTTAATGTGTTATTTCTTTTTATTGTTCTTTCTTTTTCTTTTTCCCTATTTCATTATTGTAGTTTGGCTCGATTCATTGATACTACAAGTCGGGAACCTTCTATAATTCTCACTTTTCGTGAATAAACTAGTCTAGTCTAGAGATTTGTTAACAGTTGAGTACGGTTTTGTTCTTTACCATGATTCTCCACGATGACCTAAACCTTCTGGATGTGTGAAAAGTTTGTTAAATTCAGTCGCATCGCTTGATACTGACATGCTCGAACCAATGACTGCTGCTGTTGATGTAATGACTATCAGAATTATTTTTATTGATTTTGGTTTTAATGTGACTGGTTAACATACTTCAGACAATATAGCACATAGTTTAATTTCAATTCTTTTACATATTTGTTGTTCTTGAATAGTTAATTATATCACAGACGATGTTTTTCTTGCAAAAAGTGTTTGTTGAACATGAATATAGTAATGAAACAAAAAATATAAAACTTTTCTCTAAAAAAACATTTCTTTTGTCTCGTTGCATTGAAGTTCTTATCAAATAAAAAATTTGATGTTATTTTGTTTTTTAATAGAACGACCTTTTACCTCTGATTTCAAATTGTCATCTTCTAAGAAAGTGCTTTTTTCGTTTAAACGAGAAGTACATTATCTATTATGATTTGACATTCATCTTTCAAATAAAAGAAATTAGAAATAGCTTTCAGCAACAATATATTATTTTATCTGTTCTTTTCATGTGTAATGGTGTTAATTTTATGATCTACATATTATATGATGGATTTTCTTTTATTAACAAAAAAAGTGACAAAGAAAAATTTGATATAAATATCAAATTACGTTAATTAAAGTCTCTATTAATCGTTTATTGATACTATAGATAAAAGGAGACTCATGTTTGTCAAGAGAAAGAAATTGTTTTTTTTGCCTGATATAACTTACTTTTTTTCCATGATAAAAATATGACATTTAAACAAAGAAATATTTTCAGTTAGTCAGACGCTGAGTACATTATACCATGGGGAAAAAGTGTTTTTATAATGATATGGAACGGCCTGAAATGAGATTCCAGGTCAATGCATATCATTCCAAAAACGCTTTTCCCCCCTTGACACAAACACATTGTTTCTCAAAATATACAATGAATAGTATATAAGTTTGTCAAAATGGAGAATGGAAAAAATGGTTTAGAAGGGTCCATTCCAACCCATTCCGCCTTTTCCCCTTGCATTATACACAGTTAGTTATTAACTCGGACAGGTTGATTACGAATATGATATCCGTTGCGGTTCATTCTGAGAGCCTTGAGCACAATGCTAAAAGTCGACTTTCGAATCCCCTCCTCCCCAAAAAAAAAGAGTAAAAATAAAAGTTTTGTGAGACTATCAATTTGTAGAACATATCCAATTATCCATGTTTATGGAATTATCTGTACATAGAATGTGTCTCATTAGAGTGAGAACATCAACTATAAAAAAAATTTTTTTATGTACTTCACATGCAAAATCTTTTCAATATTCATATTGATTCAATAAGATTTAAAATAGCATAACATAGATAGTTTGACATAAAATCGTAGTCTCAGAAAGTATCAGTAGCCGATAATAGTAACTTAATAATTAATTATTTACTAACGAAAACTTACATTTTTAATCTTTTTTGTTCTTCGAAAATTGACTAAGATTCTACGAATGAACTACAATAAATATTATATTCGTAATTCAAATCATTTTATCATTGAGAAATGCTTCCTCATGTGATACAATATTGACTATTTGGTTTAATTCGTTTTTATTTCAATATCTACATAATTATCTATTTAAAACTAGATAGTGATTACTATGGTGTAAATTGATTTTATTTCTTTTTGTTATTTTTCTTTTAAGATTAATGTTGCATGTTCCATTGTTTATGGCATCTCTTGATCTCTTATCTATTTATTAAATCTTATAATGTATCAATCTCTTTCCCATCATTAATTATTGTCGAATGATTACTCCATTATTATTTACTCTCATTTTCCCTTTATTTTCTTATTTATTATCATTCAAATGACTGTCACTCATAATACTCAAGATCTATTGAGTCCATTAACACGTCTTTTATCTCCTACAATGTTAAATGAACAACAAACTCAATCGACAAATAACAACAATAACAGTCATCAATCGTTACCGTGGTTATATATACCAAAACGTATTATTGTTGCTCTTCTAACATCATTTGGATTACTTTTATTATCAGTGGTACAAACAAATTTTGCAATAACAGCATCATTTATATTAAATCCAAAAGATTCGAAAGACATACCAGTTGATGCAGATACATTGTCATATACTGTAAGTCAAATGTAAACAATTATATTACTCATATTATCATTTTCTTTTATTTATTTCAGACTTCAAAAATTCAGTGGACATCGGTAGAAATGGGCTATTTAAATAGTATATTTTATTTGGGTTACATTGCTACACACATTCCAAGTGGTTATCTTGTAACTAAATTATCACCAACACGGTTAGTAATAATAACTGACTATCATTGAATAAAATATGACTATTTTTTTGAATTTATATTTTTTTAGATTATTTGTATATCCACTGTTGATCATGCTCATTTTAAATTTTTTTCTTCCATTCTCAATTAGTATACTTTCAAATCAATATCATATAAATTATTATTCAACAGCCATTATTCGATTATTACAAGGATTTTGTGCTGGATGTGCTTTTCCAGCTAGTCATGGTATAGTAGCAAACTGGTGTCCACCGAATGAACGAGGACGAATGGGTGGATTTATTTATACTGGTAAATTGAAAAATATATTAAATATATATATATAGATTATATTCTCTTTTTTCTGTTAGGGCTCTATGCTGGACCTGTTCTCGGATTTGCTCTAGGTGGTCTTATAGCAAAATATTTTGGACATTATATCATTTATTATGCGACAGGTAGGCACAAATTTGTTCATATCGAATTTTAGTGAAAACGACGGAACCGATGCATATCACTTTTCCTAAAAAAAAAAAGAATGTTTATCTTATATTCTTTCTAGTTATACATTGAATATATACCAGTATGTAAACGGTGGGTTGTAGCTCAGTGTTGCTTGTACAAATTTATAGTATAAAATAGCACTTTTAGATGATATTTACAGGGAACTTTATAGATGTGTATTGCACGCGTCTTGTGTTCACTTTAGATGTATAAAAGTCGCATGTCATATATATTCGTCTTGTCTGCTTCATTAAACTAATGCTTGTAAAACAAAATCTTATCTCATCACAAAAATATATATTGAAAACTTCTACACTATAGTACCACATGCACTCAGTAGTCATTCCTGCACTAGCGTAAAAATATTTATGAGTCTATTTTATATCTTTTTGAAACTTTTTTCATGAATATCTAAAATCTGACCAGATGAAATGTTTCGAAGTTGTCAAAAATATAGAGTATATGTTTCTCTATAAAATAAGGTGTGAATGAGCTCTGTGTGATTTTTGCTTGTAATTCTGTGTTTATTCGATAACAAACTTCTAACCGGGTCTGATCGAACCAAATCCTATGCTCGTAACATCCCGATGCTGAATTATTAAAACTATGCTCGATTTTGAGAGAATGAATTTCTTTATTTTTGTTCTGTTATGTTGTAGGTATGCTCGGTTTAATATGGTCATTAACATTCATTTTATTAATTTATGATTCACCACGTGAACATCCAACAATTTCCAAAGCCGAAAAAGATCATATTGAAAAAAGTATTGCAGAAGTGGCATCATTATATGAACCAAAACCAGTACCATGGCGTGCAATCTTAACATCATTACCCGTGTGGGCTATTGCATTTGCTCATTTTGCTCGTGGTTGGACATTTTATTTATTATTAACAAATCAACCGGCATTTTTAAATGCATTCGGATTTTCAGTAGCTGAAAATGGAACACTGGGTTCATTACCTCATATTATGAAAGTTTTAGTGGCATTACAAAGTGGATTTTTAGCAGATTATATGAGATTAAAATTATGGTGGTCAACAAAAACTGTTCGAAAAATAATGACTTGTACTGGTTACATAGTTGAAGCAATGTGTTTAATGGTTGTTTGTCACGTTCATAATGGGTATATTGGCATTGCTCTACTAACAATTGGTGTTGGAGCTAGTGGACTTATGGTATCAGGGTGGCACTTAAATCATCAAGATTTAGCACCACGTTATGCATCGGTTCTAGCTGGTTTCACTGCATTTATAGGTACAACGGCTGGTATAATAAGTCCGATCATTGCTGGTATACTTACGAGAAAACAAGTGAGTAGTTAATGCTGTTTGAATCAGTGTTTAGTAAAATAAAATTTATATCTTATTTATTCTTCTAGGATATACTTGGTTGGACATATGTATTCACGATATGTTCATTAGTTTTATTTGGAGCTGCAATATTCTATTTCTTTTTTGCAGCTGGTACGATATTATTTTCACTTTTTATGCCAATCTCTTTAATCTATTCTGTTTTTGTTTCAGGTGACTTGCAAATCTGGGCTACACATGTTGAAACACAAACGGTTCGTTTACATTCTGAAAAATTACCATCGGTGACAGCATTTGAACATAGTATTCAAGAAGATGTACCAATAAAAAAACAGAAAAATAACAGTCAAAGTTTTATGACGAGTAGTTACAACACATTCAATGATGATCAGAATAGTAACAATATTATTACAAAGAATTAATCATGCACACATTGGCTGATACTATTTTGTTTGTTTGTTTATTTATTAATCGAGTTGAAGAGTCATACTTTTGTTATTTCTGTGTGTGTTCATTTGAACCTAGTCAAAATATTCCTTCGTCGGTGAGATGTATTTAACGACCATGTATACAGTCAAACGTTTTTATTTATTTTTTGCTGGTTTTTTTAGTTTCAAGTAAAGTGCGTTTTATTATTTATTTATTTTTGTTATTGATGGTTATTTATGAGAATCGAATAATAAAATTTGGTGAACGACATACAGTTTTTAAGCGATCACAGAAATAAACTCCTCTGAGATGATTCACTCGATGATCATACCATCAGCTTTCAACAATTAGATTTGCGAAATACTTGGTACTATTTCAGCAAACCGGTGGGTCAGCGTCGTTCATGTTTATAATAATAAGTTATTTTTTCGTTAACCACTCTACTTTATATATCGTTCGATAGCGAATAAAGATGTGCGGTAACCGATGATTTACCGTCCGTAACGATAAAAGCCTTTTTACCGCGGTAACGGTACGAAATTTTTTACCAAAGGTTCGGTAAATACTTTTTACAGAATTTTTCGTCGCCGGTAAAGTCTTTTTTACCGAACTTATGTCTGTTATTTTGTTTTTATTTCTTTATTCCCTTCTAATTCTGATCATGTGGTGAATCACCGCGGGTGATATAAATTAATACATTCTGATAGCTGTGATGATATAAGTTATCGATATTGCACTATCGTACCTTTAGTCACTTTTATTTTGCTGGTCAGATTGATTAGTAGTCAATCTAATCTATATTTCAAAATCTATATTTCCGCTAACTCCCTACCTCTGAGACGATTATATAATATACGATCCTTTATGAAGCAAACAACATTTATTGAAACGAGACAACGGTAAAAAATTTACCGAAAAAATGAACGGTAATAGCTTTTTTACCGAGACAAAACATAGGTAACGATGGCAGACGTACGAAATTTACCGCGGTAACGGTAAATGGATACCGGTTACCGCACATTCCTATTAGCGAATTTTACAGGCTACAAAATGAGCTAGAGCGCATTATTTCAAAAGTTTGCCTTATTAAACAAATACTTCACGGGTATCTCGATTTTTGTCGTATAGTGGCACATAAAAATGATTATAGTTTCTTCTACAGACAGAGATTTAGCATAGTTTGTATGTAGAAAGATGCAGAATTAAAAGGGCTACAGAATGATGACAACGTGTTCTTTCACATCCTAAGTTTAGTAGACTTATTGATAGAAAGATGAAAAACAGTTTTCCGATTAATTTTTCTGATTTTGGTGACATGGGACCTTTCTTAAATTGAATACTGTTTGATAAATAGTACTGCTGAGCTCAGAGGCATCTTGATTTGCTCAGAAATCTTTTCTGTATACGATGAGGCTGTTGCCAGAAAGGTATCACTCGAATTCGTTGACTTAGTTTTTTAGGGTTTGAGTTTTCCGGAGACCTGAGCACGAGAAACTTTAGTGGAACTTTTATCTGTCATAGATCAGATTGGAAACTCATTGAGCTATTCAAATCTTTCCGTAGGTTCGTTGTAGCTAATATCTTTTAGGAGAAAAACTGAAAATAAACGTGGCTCACTGGGTTGAGCGACCCATAAATACAAATCGCCACAGGCATATACTATTCACTATATAAATGCTTGACGACACACTTTTAAAAGCAAATGATGCGTTTCAGTTTGTAGCACGTTAACTTCTACATTTTTCTATATGATAAGCATTTCAGCTCCCATTTCGTGTACTACACCGTATCTCATTCACCATTCCACAACAGGTCAAAATTACTGGATCCGTTGGGTATCTTGCCCCTAAATCTGCCAAAATTAGCATTTGAAAGAATACGTTATACCTCATTCTATAGCCCTTTCAATTCTGCATCTTTCTACATACAAACTATGTTTAATCTCTGTCTGTAGAAGAAATTATAATCAAGATTAACCTGGTTCAAGATTACAGGCTTAAACCAAACCAAACCAAACCGAAATTATAATCATTTTTAGGTGCCACGGTAGGGTTGATCTACCGGTTTGCTAAGATAGTACCGAGTATTTCGGATCGTAGACCACCTAGTTACATTCTCTTGTGGCGGTATTAGATACTATTTTGTAGCCCATGAAATTGTGTACCGAACAATGTATAATAGTTGATATTTGCTCTAGGTGAAAGAGGTAGAATGATGAAAATACTTTGAGTAAAGGTCATTTAACGATGAAAGAGTTTTTTTTCTAAAATGTTTCCAGGGGCGCTGAAAAGAATTTTTAAGGTCTAAAACTATGTTGGGGTTAATGGCGGACACAAACTGCATCGGAATAAGTTAACATAGGACTGATTTGAGAGGAGATCGATTTTGGCTCTTATCGCCCCCATCCTTTTGGCCTCTTTAATATTTTTCTTATTTCAACGCTGATATTTTAGTTTCTGAAACTAAAACTCACTTTATTCATTTTAATGAGAATCACCATCATCATAGGCAAAGTATTTTTGTTCTTAATTTGTTGCACTCTAATCGATGTCTCGTACATGTGAGAAATCTCCGTAACGATACGTTAGAAAGTGATGAATTTATTTTAAATTGAAGGTAAAGTATAGCTTTCAAGGAAAAAGATATCATTACACTACACATTTCTTACTGCAGTATTGATCACTTTGTAATGGTAACGGTTAGAACCAGCAGCAAATACCATTCTACTGCTGCCTCATCCATTTCGGAGGCTGTTTGTTTCTAATCTACAGATTATTGGATCGATGCGATAAATAAGTTGTTCAGCTTGCAGAAAGAAAATATAAAGCTTCTTTACCAAACATGTGCAGAGGTAAAGAGTGAACGTAATGACTATTCATTGACTTACATTACAATGGATTATTATATTACGACTACAGAAAAAAACGCAAAACGACAAGCCATTATCAGTGCTATAGACGATTAGAAACACTTTACTGTTGCTTTGAGTCACTCTTAACTATCTCCACTAAATGTAACTGATGTTTAGTGGAAAACCTTTTATAATGTAGTAGCGTTTTTCTTCCCTTGCTGATAAGTCTACAATGTACCAGAGGCCAATCTTTGAGCTTAAATCTAGCTTTTGATAAAGAGAAGAAGTTTAATGAAATGTTAAAACCGAATAGAGTATATATTCAAAAATCGAGCCCTTTTACATTGTTGATCTTATACATGAGCTTCAATTTAAGACCAACTCGAACTTTCCAGCATTTACATGGACGGAGCATTTACATGGACAATTAATGATAAACTTCTAGTATTGATGGGTCGTCGAAACCAATCAGTTACTAAGCGTTCGTCTTATGGGAAAAACTAACAAACATAGAGAAGTACTTCCTGGAAAAAGCGTTTCTCATCCTTAAAATTACATAACTAACGTAAGTTACTTTAAGTCAGGTCTATGATAGAATTAACGACCAAAATCAAGAGACTTTTCTCCAAATGGATAAGTTTTTTACTTGAACTCCGTTTAAATTTACGCATTTGCATTTAAATTAACAATTACTTGAATAAAAGCGATCTATTTCTGAAACTACAAATTTCTTTTTGCGGTAAACATAACTCTCGAAATGATAATTACAATAAAAGTCTTTCTTCAAATGTTGCCAGTGACATTTCTACAGTGAGATTAAAATATATGACTTTTAGTCAGAATAAAGTTTTTAGTATTGCATAAAAAACTGAATTCTGTGAAGAAATCTATACGAACTGTGAAACTCGACTTGATACAATTTTAATTTAGTTTAGTTTTACAACTGCTTATCAGTTACTAGAGACCCAAAGCAGAATTCATTTCTGAAAGAATCAAAAGAAGGTACTACGACCGATTTCAACATTTCTCAAGGGTCTCTTTCAGGTGGTTTTCTTCGAGAAAGCGAGAACTAAGGCACGACAAGCAACACAACTCCGTCCAGATCGTATGAGGGTATGGACGATGTGGAAGCCAGACTCTTGAGAAATGTCGACACCGGTTGTGGTATCTTTTTTTGATTCTTCCAGAAATGAATTCTGTTTTGAGTCTCTAGTAATTGATAAGCGGTTGTAAAACTAAACTAAATTAAAATTGAATTCTGTGAAATTATAGACGTCTCTATATACGGTTATACAATTTTTGAATGTTTTTGGTGTATTATCTGCGATAGAATCTGTCTCATACTTGTACCATATATCTTGTGGCAATTAATGATTTATGTTGTATTGTTTGCATATCGTCGCCGATTGTAAAAACATTTGGATTTGAATTTAATCTTGCCGTATTTTGTAATGCATTCAATAATAATGGTGGTGAATAATTCATAAAATATCTTTCCTGATATGCTCTTTGTGACTTTTTTGGACTTATAAAAACGGGTGCCATTGAGACAAGATTTGGTTTTACAGTTGATGCACGCCTCATCGTTTTATAATTGTTTGCAATATCATATTTTTCAATTTGTTCATCAAATATAGGATTTGCCGATTGTGGTACTTTTGATTCCGATAAAAGTGATCGGTCATACTTATTTTGACGATATTTTTCAGCAAAATCAGACATATCACGAAAATAGTACGGTGTAACAGTATGTGTGTTAAACGATGATGCTAATTGATTAAAATATTCATCATCAGATATCATTGCATTTTCTTGGACAGATATCCGCAATGGATTCATATTTACTTTTTTCTCATTAATTAATTTTTCAACATCATTTTCGTTGACATTTACGAGATATCGTTGTATAGCTAATGCGTATAAATGTGATTTTGTCAATGGTGTAGATTGACGTTCGTGAGCACTGCGTACTTTTATTTCTGTACAATCGGAACACAATTTTGGTCCAAGTAGATTACATGCTTCACGAGAAAGAATATTGGCTGATGAAGAATTACTACGATCACATCGTGCATCTATCGGTGTACTTGGTGGTCGAGTCTCAAAAACTGGTCTAAGTGGGACACTATTAAGTGTTTCTGTTGAACTTTTACGATCAGGCTGTGCACTTGTTATACGAGTTGGTGGTATTGCCGATGATACACGACTCGAACGTAGAGAATTAGTCAGAGATAATAGTCTTTGTGAACTGAGATCTTTCAATGATGATGTATCAATGATTTTTAACGAATTGGTAGATCGCTCATTTCGAGGTGATGGAATAACTTTTGATTGAGAGACATAGTGATCAGGAATGGGCTAAAAAATGAGAAATTATGTGAAGAATGTTATTTTAATAATGATGAGAAACGGACCTGTTTCGATGGTAGAATATTGACTGTTTTTGTTTTTGCTGATTGAGCATGATTTTTACTTGTTAATGGTCGTGTGACTGATTTTGATGGATCAATAATTGTTAAAATTTCTTGTGATGAATCATTTGTTAGTCGACTCAAATATGTTCGATGATTAGAATGAGAATCGGTATTTCTAGCTGGTGTACGTAAACGTTGAAGGTACCATTTAGCATTAACATTTGCACTTAAAGATCTTGACGATGTCAATTTTTTTATTTCCTCCACTTGTCCCATATCGCATTTATACAAAGTTGATTCGCTTACCTATACTAGAAAAAGAAGTCTGCCGACACTATTTAGGATTCAAATAATTTTTTATTCCTTCCGTTTTATATGTATACAGACTAAACATATTCTTCCATTATTATTTCCTTGGTGAAAAAGAAGAAAGAGAAGAAAAGACATCTTTGAAGGTGCGTGTGTATGCGTAAAAAGAATGAGTTAAACAAACCGATCATGAATATATATTTATTTATTGCAATGCAATTATTTCTTAAACGAGAGAGGTGAGGGTTAAAAAAAAGAAGAAAGGAAAAGAATATCTAAATTTAAAAAATATTGAAGCATAATCGCTAATACTTGAAAATATTTTAGTTTATTAATAAAAACTAATTTGGTACATTTTGTATTTCGTTGTTTCATTTACTCTATTCAAATTTGAAAAATGAATAGAGAGACATTGAAACTTAAATGAAAATTGGATCTTTTTGTTTTCTGAGACTTCGAAACTTCATAAGAGATTTACGATCATCTATGCAAACTAACAGAGTTATTAACCCTTTACCCTCCCTCTCCAATGTCCACAGGCGTCGTGGACATTGGTAAAATCGGTATTAAAAATTAATGAAACATACGATCAAAAAAACTAATTGCTTATCGTTTGTACAGAACTTCATAAGTTCTCGATTGATAAAAAAAATTTATTTTGTATGTTGTTTTCTCTCTGAGATAAAGAAAATTTAAAATTAGTAATTTTTCTAAAAAACACATTTTCACTTGTTCGAATTTTTGCACCAAAACAGACTTTTTATTTTGTATAATGTGTTGATGAAGAAAGATGTATTAAGATGCTCTGTTTTATATGATATCACTGGAACAACCCTCTACTCACAACAGTGGACTGTCGATGACCCAAAACAAAATCACCATTTTTGCTGGAGTTTTACATTGTTTTTTCAGACGTATTTGCTTTTGTTCATCAACTCACCATATTATGCTTTCGATACAAATCGAATTTAATGGATACGATTTAGTAGAACTATAGCTTCAACTTGTAGCAAAAATTTTACAAAAAAAGATCTTGTATATAATTTATAATAAATTTTAAAAGCTGAATATTCAAATTTTTGAATGACTTTAAAAAATTGGATTTTAAATGTGGTATGTTTATATTGAGTGCCCCTGACTTCTATTTCAATGGTTAGCTTTTAGAAAGCTTGAAAGAAAAGCTCGCGGGAGGTAAAGGATTAAGTATAGTAACGAGTTTTCAAATTTTTCCGATTTAACCTCTAAATAACACTTTACAAGTTAACTGATGAACATTTTTGGTTTCGATCTTTTCACTGTATGATTTATTTTTAAATTCGAAAATCAGTAATTTGTATCGGTATCTTCTATCATGATTTCAATCTGTACTTCGAGGTTTCGTATTATTCCAGTATTACTACTTCATCGTATGTTAGATTTGTTTTAGAAATTTAAACTAAATGGATCTACTCACGTTCAATTTTATTTCATGTTTAGTACGACTAATAGAGTTCTTCGATTTCTCTTTTTTGTCTAACTACAGGTGTGTGTGTGTTTTTTTAACAACATCATTTAAATTTTTCAAATAAAAGAGGAACAAAAATGATTTTTCTTTTTTATAAAGCTTCACATATTTAACAATAAGGTAAAGAAGAAAAAAAAAACGAATCGATTACGTACTCCTGAGAAAACAAAACACCATCTGACAAGCATCAAATGAAATATTAAAACATCTTCAACTCACGCATGACACATATTCGTAACAATCATTCATCTATCTCAATGTGCCTCATTAAAATGATTTTGTCTAAAAGTCAATTAGCAACTAAACATATTTTCACTATATGTATGTAAATAAAGCTAAGATCATGCTCTAAGCAAGCGCAAACAATAAGCAAATTGCATATTCCTCGATCAAGTATGACCGACACATTGATTTTGATATACAAGTGTGTAGTAAGTTTTTCTATGTGATTGTTTGACTTTTAAGACTAGTCCTATCATATAGGAGTATGAGGAAAGGTTAGTACTGTCAGTCTAACTGATGTTAATATTTTATAGAGAGGAAAACAGTGAAAAAAATAGAAATTCTTAGTGTACGCTTGTTATCTAATTAAATAGTCATTTATATACAATTGCTGAATGTAAAATAGAAGAAGTGTTCCTGAAATGTCCTTAAAGTAAGATCTTTCGTATTGCTTAATAAAAGTTAATAAATTCGTCTGTCTTCAACTTAGACTTGCTAAATAAGAAGAAAACCGAAGAAGTGATAAGAGAGTGAGATAAATAGAATAAAACTGTTCTTTTTACAATGTGTAATGTTAATTAAAATATTCTTGTCTGTTTATTAAAAAAACAAATAACGTCTTCAAGTGAATGTATACTAAGGTGGAGATGATGTAACGACGCTAAAAATGTTACACATGTTGTGAGTGCATTACCATCATCAGTAGATTAACGACTTTAGATTGTTGATCGAATTGATGCCACCGATGCCTAGAGAGAAAAACTCTAGATCAAATTAACTAAGCGGTTGGTTGCTGTGGAAGCAATCAATCAGATCTTATCCATGATATAAACAATATAATAACATAAATAATATATAACAAAATAGTAAACAATCATTATTGAACGAAATCAATGCATACTAGCATTAATCATTGATTCAGTCATCCTCATCTAGAAAATTACACAGCCACACATAACTCACACATGTTAGATAGTCGATTTTTTGACATTGTATATTTTTATCTCATATACACATTTATTTTCGACATATTAGCGCCATAAAGAGGATGTAAATATTTTGATCATTGCCAATTTGACCTATAACTAATGTAATTACAGAGGATCACTTTTTATATCGACAGACAGGATGTCTTTTTCTGCAGGGATTTTGCTCTTTTTTTTTTTGATTTTACCACTTCTTTTTGCAAATTGTGAACAACATGATCTAGAGAACTATGCGATGTAGAAACATTCTAAAAATAGGATGGCGTTCACCATAGATTAACCATTACACATTTCTTTCTTAAAAAATGGAATAGATTGAGCGCCATAATTCCAATAAGTGAAAGTTTGGACTTAGAAACTTTTTCGTATATTTTATAAGAGTTGATTGTCCGGTGGCACTTTTGAATCAAAACTTTATTAGTACTATAAATCATCGAGACGAATAAAGTTTTTTCAATTATTTTTTTTTACTTTCGATATGCCGATTCCGTGGCTGCCTAACACAAATTCGTCTTAATTGGCTTTGTTATTTGACATAGTGAATCTCTTCCAAAATTTATTTTCAAATTATTCGTGATGTTTCGTCATTCGACAAATGATTGCTTCAGACTATTACATTTACTACAAATTTTGTCTCTAATATCAATGTTATTACTTGGTGAACATTCACTTTAACTAGCAAGCCGAAATTTTTATCAAGATGGTTGGTATATAAAAGATAAATGGTCGAGAGTAAAGGTCCCATACTCTTTTTTTTTTCGTTAGTTCACAATCTCATTCGAAAAAAATCAAGGACAAATGATAAACAGACAGATTATTTTTAGATGTTTTGAACTTTGTTACAAAAGTTAGAAAAATCACTTGGTGATTAATTAGATGTGTACACAAAAATAAAAGATAATAAATTAAGGCAACCGGCAAATTAACCATCACATATAGTATCACCATTCTAAATTTCGCTTTATAAGATCACACTATTTTGTACATCTTCGCCAATTGTTCGTCGATGTTCAAGTAAGTACGGTGATGATAATGAACTACCATTATTTGGTAAATTATTCATCACAAAAAGATGTTTTCGTTTATTTTTTTCTGGTGATTGTATAAAACCATCAAGTGTATCCATTTGTCGAGATGTACGTGAAATAAGTGAACGATTTTGTGTAGATACTAATGATTTATTTTCAGATGTTAAACGTTCAAATACGGAAAAATTGTCTAAATGTAACATTTGAATGGCTGCTGTTCGATAAACTGTTACACCAAGTATATACAAAAAAAAATTTATACCCAATGCAGCTATATTGAGTAATTCACATAGTCTTGAAAGTATTCGAAGTGTTAATATAAATTTAAGATTGCATTTTGAATGAATAACAATGAGTAGATATTGTGCACATTGAGTTATAGCATGTGGAAAATAGAGAATGAGAAAAATAACTGAGACCATAGTAAGTGTACGCGTTAATTTTGATCGTAAATGTTCATTTTGAGTACCAACAACTTGTCGAGGTTGATGTAAACGATGTAAAATAGCTATGAATATTAATAATGTAAAGAAGAAAATTAATAAACAAATATATTTATATTGCAGTAGAAATTAAAATTTCACTTTTTACGAGGAGAAATTAAAATAAACAATAATTTTAAGTTATACTAGTAGAAATTGAAATTTTAATCTCTACCATAGGAGAATTTTAAATTCTACGAGAAAGTTGTTTCTTTTTAGTAGAATAACATTTTGTACCACATGGTACTTTAGCTACTTTGCATGGACATTTCTTTTGATAGCACAACAATCCATTATAAACACAAGCGTCTGCAACTGGATTAACACGTTTTATCGCGATTATGATGTCCTACTTTTTCATAACATTCTTTAATTATATGAAGGTTCATATGCGATCATCAGATTATTTGATTTAATACCATAAATAACTTGTAATTCATCAATAATAACTAATTTAAAACGCTTATCAATTTAAAATTTAAACTGAGCTTTATCCTAATCATCTTTTAATACCAACATAATATTATTATAAATAGATTGTGTGATAACATACATTACAGTTCCACTACACAAATAATCACGATTATCTTTAACCATGATTAACGATATTTAATCACGATGAACAGAATTGTGTGTAACCGCACTGATCATGATTAAAAAAATAATCGTGATTTAACTCGTACCTATTACTATAAATAGTCAGTGTGCAGAACAGAACTCATTTTTGTGTTGACAAGGTTAAAGTGAATACCGTAACACTTTTTAATCTGATCAATAGATTTGTTGACACCAGCTGCTAATAAATCTTCTTGTACTTTTTTCCTGGCGTCACGATTCCGAAGACTAGCCATTTCATTCGATATCTTTTCATCTTTTAACAAATTTAGCAGCAAGTTTGCTTCTTCCTCAAACCACCACGATCTTTTCACCTTCGTTTTCTTCTCGTAACTCTGTGTAGTCATTTTTAATAGAAAAATTATTATTATTAAATGGTTACTTAATTATTTATTAATCTGTAAAAAAGTATAGTAATGCCAGAAAAATTAAAAGTAGGCAAAACAACGTTCAGCTGATTAGTCATTGCAGTTGAACAGTCATATGCAAGTGCCGCTATCATGATCCTTTTTTCGATAGAGACGGTTAGAGTTACTCAAGGTTAAATTTAATCGCGATTAAAGATAATCATCTTCCGAACATGATTATCTTTACTGATGATTTTCCAAATAATCGTGAGTAAAGTAGTGGTTACACTACTAGTTTAATCATGATTAGTAATCACGATTAAAGATAATCGTGATTATTTGCGTAGCG